TCCTGTTTGGAACAATGTATGAAGAAACCCAGGGCAAGGACAAAAGAACTAAACATTCTACAAGTGAAAAGAACAGTAGTTATTTCTGAGCTGTGAGTGGCAATCCATTGTGGAGCTTCTCTGTTTCCAAAAGGCACTGAAGAATGAATAAGCTGCTTAAGCACATTATCCTGTTATTCAGGTCAACACCATGCAAACTGGGTCCCCGCTTGTTGTTGTTGTTTTTTTTTTTTTTTAGTGTTCACACATCTTGAGAGATTAACATTTACTATCGGCTATTTCATGGCTTTCAAAACAGATCACTGGAGAGAAAGTTCTATACCACAATCAAGTGTGTCAAGTTGACATGATGATTAGGCACTTTTCCTCAATGACTTGGGTTCCTTTTGTTCCCCAGCTTGTTGTCAAAGCTTAAACTTAGTTTTGTTCTTTTGGAAATCTAATCTCCTGTGAAACCTAAGTCTGCTTTTCCTGGTTAGTGGGTTTGTTACACATATTAAATGATACTGGAAAAGTTGACACTAGTTTATTTTTAGGCACACTTAATTTTAAGGCTAAAAAAAAATACTAAAAAGTTGAGGTTTAGCAACATGGCAGAATTCAAGCTTTAAACAAAATAAGAGTTTACAAGGAGAAAGGGCTTAATTGAGGTTCTGGTACTAGGAGGATCATATAGATCTACTTAAAATTGGCTGGGTAAAATAACAAAAAGTCCTTTGAAGAACCACCTGAGCATATTAAAACTGTAATGACTTTGAGGTTTTAAGAAAAAGGCAAGTCATTTATACCATCTTACTTGTGCACAATTATAGTAAAGAGATCAGCAAACCATCAAATTCAGGCAAGGCTTGAGCTGTGCACCTGGCTCTAATTTAGCTACAAAAGCCAAAGCAGTGAGAAACAGAAAATTGCACACATATATATTTCATCAATAGAGAAAAAAACATGCGGAAATGTCATCTATTCTCAAACTTGGCACCAGGAAATTTCTTTGGAACATATATAATTTAGTTTCATGGAAAACTGGAGGTTAAGAACCCAGAGCTGCAAGATGCTGAGCCTCTCCACTCACAAAGACGTCAGCAAAGAGAGTCCAGACCTCTCAGTGCCACCTACAACATATTTGGTATACAGTGATGTTTCACAGCAGAAATTCCCCAACGCCACTAAAAATATCAAAACCCTTCATTTCTACAAGAGAAATAATATTCATTGGAACCACGGTTATAAAACTAAAGGGAAACTACAGCTGTACAGAACACCAGCAGCTTTGAGACAAAGATGTGCCACCTCCCAGAAATGAAAAACATTTCAGAGTACGATTGGTTTAATGAGGCACAAGCCACCAAGAAAAATGTAGGACCATTGACACCTTTTCAACTGTTAATATTTGTATATGTTAAAATAGCCCAAATTCTTCCTGTGAGCTTCTTCTTTCTCAGTTTTCTCAGATTGGGGAAGGGCTTGTGAACACAGTGGAGTTTCTGTTCTCCAGAAATGTCGGACATTTCAAACAACTTTTTTGTTTCCACAGGACTGAAATTTCACTCTGTGTGAAACTTTTTCCAATAAAAGAGTTCATCACTAAAACATAACATTGAAGCTATGGGCATACCAACAGTTTCCATCAAAATTAATTGCGCAGTAATCAGTCTGCGTTCATTTAAATTTGCACTAACATGCTGAATCATGATTTTCTGCCCTGTAAGAACTGCTTATAGCTGCAAAGTGTTTTTAAGGCATTAGGAAGAATGGATAAGATTTCAATTTGCATTAGACTATTATACCTATTTTTTTTGAACAAGATTACTTTGAAGTCCAGCACACAGAACTTAAACGTGTATTAGATTCTTTGTTTGCAAATGCTGACTGAATTTTGGATGTCTGCAATCCTGCAACTAACACTGACATTAGTTGGATTTGAGGGTGGAGAATGCTTTGCAAAAAGAAAGTTCATAATCAGGTAACCTTTTTCTTTGAACTATACTGCCTCTTTTACATACTCACCTGTAAGAGATCAGGGCTTTTCCTGTGTAAAGACGAGAACTTTCTCAACATATTTGCAAGGAACCTCTTGCAAAAGAAGAAAGGAGCCTAATCCTCTGTTTCTCCCCAGAAGGAGACCTCATCTTTGGGATGAGCTAACACAAGTACTAGCATCAGCTCACCCTTTCTCTAGACTTGCCAAACAGATAGGTACTGACTATAATATCACTGAATGATAATAGACATTTTCTCCTCTGTAACCCTAAAAACAACACTAAAACCTGCCCTCCTGTCAGAGTCCAGAATTTAAAAGGTGGTACATTCATAATGCTTCTATGACATCAGTCTTAAATACAATTGTTGAAAGAATAGCTTCTGTGTAAAAACATTAATAGCAAAGAATATTCTATGCATTTGATACAGTTTGAAATAACAATTCTGTTGTTTTGCACTGCCAAGTTAGAATTTTTCAGTTAATTTGCCTTTAAAAAAGCTGCTCATTTCAGTCCAGTTTGCTCTTTTTACTCATGAGTTGTTTATCTGCCAGTTTGATCTTTGCATCCTGTGCTTGCCTTTTGCTCAGGAAGCCTATTAATTTCTTAACCTGGAGAGGAATTAACAGTCGTAGCTTTGACTTACACAAACACTTAACCCCATTGCTCATATTCTAGAGTTGGCTACCACATGCACAGACAGCTTTGCCCAACTGAGGAACTGTCAGTGCCAGTGAACTTTAATTAAAAAACAACACTGTAATGGCTGGAAAGAATGCTTCACGAAGGAATCTTGTAACATGCTACAAAATTACCACAGTTTGTCCCCAAGCAAGAGGCTGCACAAAACCAGACTGAGCCAAGGACATTCTGTGGAGGTTTCCGGCGTATATCTGTGGCAACAAATAAAGAGCCCAGTGTGCAAGGGCTGTGGGCAGCCAGGCATGATGTGTGCCAAGCAAGCTCCATCCCTTCTGCCCTTGTGCAGCACAGCCTGCCTGCTTCTGTCCTTGCAATGCAATACAAGGCACCAGACAAGTTGTCCCAGGATGCCAAACTCATCTCCTTGCATAAGTGTGCAGAGCTAACGCCTATGCATCCTCAGAAGACTGAAATTTATGTGTATAGTGGCTGAAGAGCAGCCCTGCAGAAGGGCATCTTTACTGTATGCAGATTTGGGAACTACAGTATAAGAAGGACATAAAATGATTAGTGTGTCCAAAGAACTGCTACTAAGGTGGGGAAGGATCTAGAGGAAGATGTACAAGGAACAGCTGAGGTCCCTGGGTTTGCTCAGCCCAGATCAGAGGAGCTGGGGGGAGGCTTCATGGTGGCCTGCAGCTCCTAACAAGGATTGGATGGGCAGCACTGAGCTCTGCTCTCTGTGACAGCAACAGGGCCCAAGGAATGGGCTCCAATGGCATGGAGCTGTGAGGGGAAGGGCACTGGAAGTTAGGGACAGGTTCTGCACCAGCGAGTGGTGGACATAGAATGAGCTGCCCAAGGCAGCAGTCTAGGCACTGATCTGTTAGAGTTCAAGGAGTGTTTGGACAATGCTCTCAGACACTGAGTTTGAATTTTGGATGGTACTGTGTGGAGTCGGGAGTTGTACTCAGTGATCCTTGTAGGCCCCTTCCAGCTTGTGGTATTCTGTGATTCTGTGATTCTACTATCCCTTGATAATATCCTAATACTACCAAGGGTGGTTGTCTGTTTGGTAAGTTTGTTTCTTATCAGTTTTCAGCTGAGGCTTTTGACCCAAATATTTTTTTGGTTGTACAACACTGAAGAACTGGAAAAAGAATTTGTGCGCTTTCCTAAAACACAGAAATTAGATTTCTGATCCCCAGCATAAAGGAGGCTGAACAAGCTCTTCAGCCTTTCTACTTTGTGCTGCACATGGGCATCTCTCTCCTGGAATGAGAAGCAGTCTGTATTTTTCTTTATGATGTTTTCATAATTGAAGTTGGTGAATTGAATTTGAATTCAATTTCGTAATTGAAGTTTTATTCAGTGGTTTTAGAAATGGCTTTCAGATGACAACAAAAATCAGTCAGTAGTTATACTGATTGTTTCTGCAAGCCATCTGAGCATGTGTGGAAGGACTAAACAAAAGATACAAGAAATAAATTATCTTACTAATTTTCGGAGATCTGTAAAAAGTACTAGCAAAGAACACCGTTATACGTATGATCCTGTGAGAGCCAATGAAAATTTTGAAACAGGGAATTCCTGTAGCTGGAGTGAGTTGCCAAAGGGGATGGCAAAACACTTTCAACATGTTTGTTAACTTTGTAACGTATAATGTAGAAACAAAACTGTCAGTAGTGAAGAAAAAGAATTAAACAGGTTTCATGTTTTGTGGTTCTAGGGCAGATTCTGGATCATAAATCTCAAGGAAGAAAAAGTGTAAGATTTAAGCATAGAAAGATTCAGAAATCATATCCAACTGGTGGACATGGATAACTGAAATGGAGAATGCTGTAGTCTAAACTGATGTTTTAAAAAATTGGAAGAAGAAGATCAAGGATTTGCATATGTTTTGGCATATTGAATTTTAGAAAGCAGCTGAATTATCTGAATATCAGCTCATCAACACAGCTGAAATGATGAACTAACTATTCCCCAAGAGATATCTGTGAAACATAAGAAGAGAAAATAGCTTTTTTTAAATTCAAGCCCTGTCAGGATATAAAGGAAAAAAAGGGAAAAGAACTAAATAAAATTCTAAAAAGATATTCTTGAAACTTGACTTCCTAGGCTAAACTTTCACTTTTTCACTTGGAAATAATATGCTTCTTTTGATACTAGGATATCCATTTTCCTTGATACAAAAGGCTGTTTCTTTAATCTCTTTGTTGCATTTTTTCAGTCTTTCTATAGAGGTGGATAAATGGATATGTATTTCATATGCTTGGGTTAATCCTCAAACACTGCATTGTTGTCCTCCTTTTTAATATAGAATGTACTAGTGTAACTTGTTCCTGTAATAGTTCAAATAGTTTTTTTTTTTTTTAACAGGCATTGCTGAAAGATCCTTTGTATATTGGGCTGAGACATAAGAGAATCAGAGGTCAAGCCTATGATGATCTTCTTGATGAATTCATGGAAGCTGTGACTTCAAGGTATGTGATATATTTGCGCTGTTCATTGGTGAATTCCATTGTGAACTTCATCTTGGAAGAAACAAATGTCCTTAGCTATGTAAGGAAGAAAGAGTAATGAGATCAGAGTTGCAATGTTTCTGATTTTATTTCTTTTTTGGAGCATTATATTTTATAAGATGATCAACTGTCTCTAACTTGCCTTAAATAATATCATTTTATGAATTCACTGCATGAGTGAGAAAACTCATCTTGAGATGAGTGAATTAACTTTTCAAACTACTTTTTTAAGGCTTAGTTCTGACTTCATGTGTAAGGCATCAGCATCATACTAGGAAAATGATGTTTTTGCAGCCTGCTTGCCATCATGTTTAAATCTCTCTTCTCCTCAGGTTTTAGGGTTTCATGCACTCTGCACTGAATCCCTCTCTATTAAAAACAAGAATAACAACAACAAAACAGAAAAAGGAAAAGAAAGTCACCCTAGTCTCTGCCCCATTACAAACACAGGACCAATCTTCTAATGTCCTGTTTTTAAATGCCAATTTCAACCTATTTCAAATCAGGTCTTTCTCTTATTTCCTTCTCTAATATTCAGAAAGTAGTTAGATTTATTATTAGAATATATGGAATAGTACGTTCTGTGTCAAATGACACATTTGCTTACATTTTCCTTTGTCATTAAAATATTTGGAGTTCTCGAGTTCTTACTCTGTATTCAGTTTTTAAATAGTTTAAGTACCAGAATTCTTATCAGAACATGCTCCTCACTTCTGCAGTAAATTGTAAAGCCAGGACTGAGCTGTGGAACCAGGAAATACTTTCCAGCTCCTTAGTCTCAGTTTGTGTCCCATACATGCTTTGAATCCATGCTGGGACCCCACCTGATGTGCACAACCTCTGTTGTCCCTGCCCTGGATCCTGTGTAAAATAAACTTGGGCAAAAGAGTAGTCTTAATTCCTGTACTTGAAGCACAGGTTCCTCTATGTGTTGCTATACTCTTACCCATTACCCCCACTTGGCTGAGAGTCCCTTGTTCTTAATCTTCCTACAGTTCCTTTTGAGTGTTCTCTTTCAGATAAAACTGATGCATTTCTATCTCCATAAGAGAAGACTTGGAACATTAGAAGTTGCCCCATGGACCAAGTTTTGAAAATTTCTAATTTAATGCATCACTAATTCACCCTTTCTTTAAAATGAACCATAGCTAATTTTAGATCATTTTAATCATATACTGAAAGAAATAATCAAGGTCACACAGAATACTACTTCAGTAATGTTTGATGGTCTGGTTGATCTGTTCTCTTGGTTTTTTTTACTCGAAAATCTTCATAAACAGTAATTTTGAGTAATTTTTAGCAATTGATGTCAACTTGACCTTCTGAAAGATCACTTTGTTCTCAGCTAAATCTGCCATGGCCTGCAACATTGTCCTTTATTTCATGCTTGAAGTGGAGCACTTAAAATTCAAAGTTGTTTGCTGTTTTGGCTGTAGTATGACATCCAGTTACGATACTCATTTGCTAAGATGAAGGGAGAAGTGATGTAGCTAAGACAGTCAAGTCCATTTGTTCAATAATTAATATACTCTACAATAAAACTTATATTGAGGTGAGGTTTTAGCAGCTCTGTTGGGAACACGCGGAAGTAGGCAGCTGTACAGGATGGTACATTTTATATAGGCTTCCCACTGGCTCCCAAGAAATCTTTCTAGACATGTGTATCATATTGACTGATTGTTAAATTTTGAAAATCTGGATTGTTATCAGCTGGTTCACCATCATTTATAGTGTATACTGTTGGAATGCTACCTTTATAGAGTAAATGTTATGGTACATAATAAAGTGCTTTATAAAAAAGCCTGTCATATGAAGGTATAATTTCATCAACTGGAATATTTTCTCTTTCTCAGCCTTCACTGCTATTCACTCCAAAAAACTTTTCTTGTAAATCAAAAATCATTTTTGAATGTCTTTTTTTTTTTTTTTTTTTTTTTAAATAAAAGCACAGGGAGAAAGACTTAAAACATCCACTAATACAAGATTTTGGTAAGGTATCCACTGTGTTATCATAGCAGAATGAAACTAGTACAGTGAGATTTTTCCCAGATGTGAGAAGGCATAGGCATATGGAAAGTATCTGGATTTCTTCTGGCATAAAGTCAGTGACCAGCTTTTATTTATTTACCTATGTCTGTATCTGTCTATTTATTTGTTACTATTGCCAGCAGCTGCCTTTGCTGTGGACAGGTGTTGAAATTTTTGTGGACATTGCCCAGTTTTTCTTGCTTTTGTCTTTGCACAGCAATTTAAGGGTATAAGGATATACTAAATGGAAGGAACGTCTTATAATATGGGAAGTAAAAAAGAAATATCTTCAGCACTGAATAGCACAAATCAAAATTAAAACCTACTCATAAAGATTTGTTATATTCTACCCTATGGAGAAATAGGTGATAAAACATTTTATACAGTAGCAAATTTTTCCAAATGACAAATTGTTCTTAAATATCTGTGTTTACAGAGGAAACTCTGAGAGGAGGGATTGCTAAACAGGGCTCTGGTAGCTGGGGTTGGTCCACCAAGACTTCTTATAAAACCAGAAGAAGTAACTAAAATTTTTTATTCCAGTTTCCATTTTTTTCCTACTTGCTTGCAATGATGTATTCATTTACAGCAGTGAAGGGATTTTGGAAACACTTGAGGGAAAAACTGTAGACTAGAGATAGAAAAAGAAATGAGGGGAGAAGAAAAAGATACCTTTTTATTAACAGGAACTTTACTTGTCTGATGCAAAAAGTGGATTTTTTCCTTTTTCTGAAGGAAAACAGGAAATCTGCTTCCTTTTAGCAAATCTGGTAAAGATAATTCCAGCTTCAATGCATCTGAAGAAGACCAGAGTAGGGAAGAATAGCATGCTATCAGCTTGCTTTCTGCTGCAGATCATGAAAGTCACTGTGCACTGGGGAAGGAAATTATGCACTCCTCAGAGAGACAAGGCTGACTTGTACCAGTGGTCTGTGAACAGAGAGGAAACTTGTAGAAAATGAAAAGTAATCTCATGTAACTCTGGAAGGTAATGTTGCAGTCCCAGAGAGTTGTGCAGAACTCTTTTTCTGTTATAAGCTAAAATTTGTGGGTTTATGATGTGGAAAAGCAACCCTATATCACTGAAATTGTCTTCTATAGGCATGATGTCTTTTGTATTTGTGTGCTTTTCTGTTTCAGTTCAAGGTGCAGTAGTTGTGAACCTTAGAAAAGTAATCTCATGTATCATTTATGTTCCAGTCTGTAATCACATTTTAATTAAATCCTTCCCCACTTCTTTTATATGCAGTCCTTTTCTTAAGCTTGTGATGTACAAAACAAGCTGCTGACAATTGTAATTCAGTATGTTCTGTCCTAAATAATCATGATGTAGTCATTATTACTCATTTGCTTGATTACATTATTCACAGATGGTAACAGTGCCTCATTTCACATCATGTGAAATCACTTTAAAATGTTGCATTATGGTAAGTAAGGCTTATCTGACTTTGAAAACAACTGTAAGGTTTTTCAATCATAAAAAGAAAATTACACAAATACTTAGGTCACTCCAAAAATAATGTCTCCTGTTTATATCCAAGTAAACTACAACAGATCAAAAGGCACAATAACACTGATAGAGCAAATTCTCAGCTACAAAACATTGTTTTTCAACATAGTCACTGTCACTAGCTGTGCATTTTTGCCAGAAATGAACAAGAGTCTGCATGACACACTCATCAAAATATTTATAGCCACCTGAAATGCCTTTTCAGTGGCTCTTGCCAGTGCTGAAACCACCCACCACCTTACTGTGGTCACATCCACTGTTTGGTCTCCATCAGTGTTCCACAAGCATCGACAAATGTCAATGGATGCAAATTTTTTCCACACAGAGGAATTCAGTGACAAACCTTTGCTTCATCTGCATTCCCATGTCAGATGCCATGTAGTCAGACTGCCCCTCTGCTGCCGTCTGTTACACAACAACAGAATGTACCAGAACATTGGCGACAATATTCAACCTCTACTTCCATACCACCATCATCCGCCTGTGATATCATGGGCCAGGATAATAAAATAGGAAGTGTTACTTTTGAAGCAGTGCTCATGCTTCAGTTTTTATTTAGTAGATTACACTGGAATATAATTAAGTCTGCCAATTATTAATTCAAAATGGACATAACTTCTGGCAAGACAACATACTGTCAAGAAATCAATACAAAAGGTGATTACAGCTGTGCTGTAATGGAATTTGTTGCACAACACATTGCTTCTAACAGTGTATTCATGCACAGATTGTTAGTACAAGGACATAGGCACCTCTATCTTCTGGTGCATTGTGGTACTGCAAGACTAAGACTTGCATTGTGCCTCTATGTTCCTGTATTGTTCAAGTTAAAGTGACTGTTAGAAGGAGCATAGAAAGAAATACTGCTGCAACAACTCCCTCCTATGGCAGTCTTAGTGAAGATATTCCTGTTTACAGACTTTTTTCCTCAGTGGGGACTTGTTGTTTGCTGTTTTGTAGCCCTCTTTCCTTCCCTTTGTGCTAGTTCATTTGGTGGTGCACTTCTCCAGATCGGTTGGCTGGATGGTAATTTTTTGACACAGGACTAAACGAACCCAATCTGATCTTCTGCAGTAAGAAGTCTGCTTCCTTTTTTTTTTTATATCTATTTATGCCTTTACCACAATCTATATCTAATATTTGTGTCCAACTTTCTTTAATGTTAATATAAACCATGAAATTTTGTCCTCTCTCTTCTTTCTGGACTTAGAAGTGCTGAAATCTTCAATTCTTGATACTAGCTTATCTACCTTCACATTTTTCTTTAAAACTCATTCGTACTTTCGTTAACTAGAAGCTGAAAACAGATTGCATGTATTGCTAGATTGATCACTGCCCTAGGTAACCAAGAAAATGTCTGTATCTTACTTTCAACATCATGTTTTCTATCCATCTTTTTCAATAACTTTTGTTTCTAGCACAT